GTGAATTAAAATTTAGAAAACTGTTGGGAGTTGGCTATACTGTAGTTTTCCAAAGTCCTTTCCAGACCCTTCTATGGCGCGCTTCACTTCCGATGTGGAAAGGACTTTTGTCACTTGCAGTGCGCCAAATATCACAGGTGGAAAAATCCACCGGTGACGTCATTGTTAACGTTGAAGGCTGAAGCTGTTTCCACTATTAGATATTATACCTCTCAGGCTTTTTATTGAAAAAATGTGTATTATAGAAGCAAATAGAATGAACAATGTAAATACAAATTTGTAGAACACAAAAAGCGTGAGAGAATACATTGAACAAACGTTACATTGAGTGTAAACGTTGTAGTAATAATTAAACTTTAATACTGTGACTAAACAACCTCGTTTCCAGGGCTTTTCCCTTTTTGTCATTGGGAAGGCGGGAAAAGGCCCTAGCACCGGCCGGTCTTCTATGTATTCAGATTGGTCAAAGACAAGACATTATTATGCAAATAATGCAATGTTGGATTAATTTATTCAAACTTCGGGATAAATTAAAATTTTCACGCAAGGAGTGTCCATAATATTACTTTGTCCGTCTAAGAAATATTTTTGGCAAGATCTGTGGCAAAATGGTTAAATTCGATAGGATTTATACACAATTTGTCGAAGGTTAGTATTACTGTTTGTTTTAAACTGTGAGAGAAGATTAATTGTGTGCTAGAATACACCTCTGAGGTTCTGATCGATTATTTATAAGGGCAAAATTTGCCTTCATTTAATCATTGGCTTCGTATTAATGATTATATTTATAAAACTAAAGACTGGGTTTATAAACTGAAACATGACCTTTAGGTTTTGATATTCTTCACAGTCGAGTTTAAATTGTCCAATTAAATTTATAGTTAGTTACCACTAGAAATGCGACGATATTTTGTTTAATTAATATGCAACAGTGTTTACAACTTTTGAATAATATGTGATTTGGTTTTGTTTCAAATACTATTACATGTTTCATTTTACCATAAATTGTGTTAAAAAAGTGATTTGCACATTTGGCTGAGGTTACAGTTTTCTGATGTGTTTTGTTTTGATGATATTAGAACAATTTCAAAATGAAAGTGCAGGTGTCTTTAGACATGAGCCATATGATTGTATTTGCATTGTTGATTGTATTTGCATTGATTGTATTATATTGTATTTGCATTGTTGCAGACAAAGTCACACAATGGTGGGCGCATGTCACATACTCGTATGGAATTCCATGTGCATGCTTGTACTTTGATACCTCAAGAGATGCTTCGAATGTGTAATAAAGGGCTGCTCACAGGAGTTGGGCTATCTGGCCTTAAATTTCATTGTTTTTATGATATTTTAAGATTGTATTCATATGGCTGGACCATCTTGTCATTGCCACAATGTTTGATGCCCAAACAGGCTTTAAAATCAGGTTACAATGCATGCTTGAAAATATGCAACAATTTCAATGCTAATATTCCAGAAAATCCTGCCTCTTGGGCAGATCTGGACTGATTTGTCAGAGGGGGTGGAGATTTTCTACTTGTGATCAGGCAAGGGGAGCTAGCCAAGGGTGCTGGCTCAGAGTCAAACTCATATGAACAGCTTCTAAGTCCTAATTATATTGATAATTGTACACTTTGGGATGGTAATTGCAATTTGTAAAATATTCCACATTTTATTTAATAAAATTTAATTATATACATTGTTTTGTTGTTTATATTAACACCTTGGACAGTGTATATTTACACCTTTGGACCCTGTAAATAAACACCTTTGGGGGGTGTACCCATTCTAAGCCAAAGACGTTTAAGAACAATTATCAAGGAATTTGCATGATAAAATATATTTAAAACTGCTCTCCATATACATGTAATGCATGGTTCAATTCTTGCTTTTACCAAGTAAATCCAGGGATTTCAATGTCCCCCTCCTCCCGTAGAATTCACTTGAAGTGACTGGGGCAAGGTAGCTATAAGTATAAGTAGGTATATAAAAGTCAATTAAAATTTACAAATAGAGCTTTTTGAATATAGACCATTGCAAACATTTTTTTAATTTGTTTAACCCTTTATAGTGGCAATGTGCCCTACTTAACTAGTATATTACTTTGTCTGGTGCCAGACAATTTTACTCAAGGGCAGAATGTAGACTTGCCACAAGTCGACCTCGAACAAAACGTCGGCTCACGCTCGCTGCTTGCGTTTCGTTCGAGGTCGACTTGTGGCAAGTCTAGACAGAATGCTGCCACTCAATGAGTTAATATATTCTCAGAACAGTTACCATCAAATTAAATCTATTGTGCTGGCAAAATTGCCTTGGAGGGGGCCTTGATTTGTTGAGTCTTTTTTTTGGGAGGGGGGGGGTGAGTGTTGTAAAACACAGAATAGCAACTGGTTTCAGAATAGGAAGAATTGTTGTAATAGAGGCAATATAATTCTAAGACAAATCATCCAAAGGAAGAAATCATTCTAGCTCTTATAGTGTATGTTGCAACAGGGATGGATTTACTGGGGGGGGGGGGTGCATCCCCTAGCCCTGGCCAGACGGGGTGCTATTTCTCATGATAATTAAAGCAAAACATTATTAGAGGCAAAATGAGATGCAGTAATTTGAGTAATAACATGAGTGAGCTGTGAACAACAATTACAATTCAAATACAGTAGTAAAGCAAGACTTTTCAGTAGTGAAGCAAGTTGATGGGCAGGTGGCACACCACACACATGACCGACACAACTCGGCACCAGAACTGGCAGAGCACCCCCTCCCCCCTACCAGATCATGCTGGATCCATCCCTGTCAGTTGCAAAATGTATTTTCTTCATAGCCAGGCATTCACATGAATGAAAATTAGAATTGCATCATGTTATATAGTCTTAAATATTTAGGAGGGGTCTCCATTATTAAATTACGAGATTAAAAAAGGGGTCCCATGACATTTTGACATAAGAATCTCCCACCCATCCTAGGGTATAATGAATGGTCACTTAAAGTACATGCCATCTTCTAACTGGTTGGGCTCTTTGCCCCTTTTGTGATGGAAAATCTATTCCCTACCTTTATGCCCTGGGACAAAATATTCAAATCAACTCTCCACCCTGATAATGTGCAGATGGTAACAGCAAGAATTGAAGCAAGCAAGCTTTACTGGAGTACATACTATTATTAAGAAACATCAATTCGCACATGTTAATTTGCCAGTCACGATTTTAAATGTAATATATCTTATCTCATATAGAATTCTTAAGGTCTTGTTTACATTTTACTGGAAGCAAACTAAGATGCATATCCAATATTTGGGTCATATCACTCATATGTCAGTTTTGCAGCTTGCCAGCTTCAACAGCATTTGGCTGCAAGGAAAACGTAAACAAGGAAAAGGCACATAGCTCTTCATCTGTGTTTAAAATATCAATGAATAAATATTCCAACCATTGACACTTTATAATATAATGCACCTATCAATGTTAAGCCCCAGAGGGGGTGGGGTCGGGCATAGGTGGGGCATTTGATTTTTTGAGCAAATTTTCAATCAAATGCCCCACCGTCGGGCAATAAATATTGGTCAAATACCCCCACCATTTTGCAATAAATTGCAATAAATACTATATTAATAAAAGTTATTCGGTTCAAAATGCTCCAACTCGGCCTGACTGGAAAGTTTGGAAATTGCGCGGGGAAGAATACGAAAATTTAATAGTAAATGTATAGGAAGTATCAAAATTGCGCGGAGAGGAACTTCCCCGCGCACAGCAAAGATTCCAGTCTGGCAACTCGGGGCCAAAATGCTAATCAAAATCCCCAGGGTGGGGTTGCAATTGATGATCAAATACCCCACATATTCCCGAACCCCCCCCCCCCCTCTGGGGGTTAACATTGATAGGTGCATAAGTGACATTCAACAATAGATCAATAACATATACAGTACATTTCCTTGAATCACTGTATAAAATATTCCTCATAAACTCGCTCCAAGGGTAAAACCAAGTTTAACATCCCCAGTTCAAAACACTTTCCGTGTCCTCTTATAAAGCAAGCCTGTCCAGCTGGAGAACATCTGTCGTAAAACTATAATAATTTTGGCTGTTAATTTTGTTTAGCGAACGAACGATATTTACCAAACCCAGTTGGAAGAAAAACAACTACATAGTTCCCATGTAATAAAAGCTGAAGAATTTGATTTCGAGTACGTCGGTAGCAAAAAGAAGGAAAAATTTCGAAGACTAAACGCATTTTTAAGCCGCTCTAAGCACTTAAATTTTGTGGTCACTCTTACGTTGGCGGCCATCTTGGATTTTCTAACATTATTATTATAATTTATTACACCCACTATATCTGGGTGTTGAAAGTCATGTGACCGGCCGGTGGCAGGGCCTTTTCCCGCCTTCCCAATGACAAAAAGGGAAAAGCCCTGAGAACGAGGTTGCATTTCGCACATTGGCAAATTGCTACCTTGAAATCGAGTGTATTAGGGTGCGCTAATGTCTACGACCATACCACCCGGAAAACACCGGTTCTCGTCTGATCACCGAAGTTAAGCCTGGTCGGGCGAAGTTAGTACTTGGATGGGTGACCGCCTGGGAATACTTCGTGTTGTAGACTTTCACTTTTGCTAGGCCGCGGCCGAATTCGCAGGAAATTAACTTTGATATTCAGCGCACCATATTTCTATAACCATTTCGCACATTTGCAAATTGCTACCTTGAAATCGAGTGTATTAGGGTGCACTAATGTCTACGACCATACCACCCGGAAAACACCGGTTCTCGTCTGATCACCGAAGTTAAGCCTGGTCGGGCGAAGTTAGTACTTGGATGGGTGACCGCCTGGGAATACTTCGTGTTAGACTTTCACTTTTGCTAGGCCGCGGCCGGATTCGCAGGAAATTAACTTTGATATTCAGCGCACCATATTTCTATAACCATTTCGCACATTGGCAAATTGCTACCTTGAAATCGAGTGTATTAGGGTGCACTAATGTCTACGACCATACCACCCGGAAAACACTAGCAAGAGTTGTAAATGAAGAACTGTTAATGAAACTATGAGGAAAATCAACACAAAAAACATTCAGTTAATTGAAACAAATGAAAACACGGAAAAACTAAACATAAACTAGATTATGAAATCAAACAAATTGTACAAATGTAAATAAAGTTATTAAGAAAAAAAAAAAACAAAAAAAAACCGGTTCTCGTCTGATCACCGAAGTTAAGCCTGGTCGGGCGAAGTTAGTACTTGGATGGGTGACCGCCTGGGAATACTTCGTGTTGTAGACTTTCACTTTTGCAAGGCCGCGGCCGGATTCGCAGGAAATTAACTTTGATATTCAGCGCACCATATTTCTATAACCATTTCGCACATTGGCAAATTGCTACCTTGAAATCGAGTGTATTAGGGTGCACTAATGTCTACGATCATACCACCCGGAAAACAAATTGAGCCCGTCCTTGTACAATGTGTTAACGCCACAAGGTTCTGGACATTCGTCACACCTTACATAGACACTATTAGTGAACAGAAGGTACAGCTGACCAACTCAATGAAACTACTTGGCATCACAGAGCTACAAAAAGACGGACTAAACCAAGTTAAACGCCAACTGGTAAACTGGTTACTAACAACAGCACGGTGTGCTCTTCACAAATCTGCCGTAGACTATAGGGTGCGAGCGGAAATTGTACCGCCTCGATCACTCTTCGTCGCAGCCGCAAAAAGCCACATAATGTACGAATACAAACGTGCAATCAAACGACGCCAACTGCAACAATTTGAAGACCAATGGTGCACTAACGAGGCGCTAGCAAGAGTTGTAAATGAAGAACTGTTAATGAAACTATGAAGAAAATCAACACAAATAACATTCAGTTAATTCAAATGAAAACACGGAAAAACTAAACATAAACTAGATTATGAAATCAAACAAATTGTACAAATGTAAATAAAGTTATTAAGAAAAAAAACCGGTTCTCGTCTGATCACCGAAGTTAAGCCTGGTCGGGCGAAGTTAGTACTTGGATGGGTGACCGCCTGGGAATACTTCGTGTTGTAGACTTTCACTTTTGCTAGGCCGCGACCGGATTCGCAGGAAATTAACTTTGATATTCAGCGCACCATATTTCTATAACCATTTCGCACATTGGCAAATTGCTACCTTGAAATCGAGTGTATTAGGGTGCACTAATGTCTACGACCTTACCACCCGGAAAACACCGGTTCTCGTCTGATCACCGAAGTTAAGCCTGGTCGGGCGAAGTTAGTACTTGGATGGGTGACCGCCTGGGAATACTTCGTGTTGTAGACTTTCACTTTTGCTAGGCCGCGGCCGGATTCGCAGGAAATTAACTTTGATATTCAGCGCACCATATTTCTATAACCATTTCGCACATTGGCAAATTGCTACCTTGAAATCGAGTGTATTAGGGTGCACTAATGTCTATGACCATACCACCCGGAAAACACCGGTTCTCGTCTGATCACCGAAGTTAAGCCTGGTCGGGCGAAGTTAGTACTTGGATGGGTGACCGCCTAGGAATACTTCGTGTTGTAGACTTTCACTTTTGCTAGGCCGCCACCGGATTCGCTGGAAATTAACTTTGATATTCAGCGCAGCATATTTCTATAACCATTTTGCGCATTGGCAAAATGCTACTTAGAAATCGAATTGATTAGGGTGTGACTAATGTCTACGACCATACCACCCGGAAAACACCGGTTCTCGTCTGATCACCGAAGTTAAGCCTGGTCGGGCGAAGTTAGTACTTGGATGGGTGACCGCCTGGGAATACTTCGTGTTGTAGACTTTCACTTTTGCTAGGTCGCGGCCGGATTCGCAGGAAATTAACCTTGATATTCAGCGCACCATATTTCTATAACCATTTCGCACATTGGCAAATTGCTACCTTGAAATCGAGTGTATTAGGGTGCACTAATGTCTACGACCATACCACCCGGAAAACACCGGTTCTACAAGAAATCGATCAAAACATTCCCAAATTTCACAAAGAGCTACTAACTGTGTGGTACAAATATAAAGAACATATCGAACGATCCAATATCCCAACACGACTAGCTGACATATTAAATGAACCACTTTTCAAGAACCTCTAATAACTGATGGTGAAAACGAAACCTTGATATACAAAGACTGGATATCCGCTGGCGTAACGCGGATTGGAGACATTTGTTACGAGGCTGTGCCAGGATTTGTTCCACTAATCGCGATTCAGGAAATGCTTCAAGAGAATGAGCAAAACCCCAACAAACATATCGAACAAACAGAACGAGAATTTGGTAGAATCATCAATGCCATACCACAGAATTGGGTAAATAAAATAAATCGAACTCACTCAACCCAAGCTGAGCGAAAACAAACACCCCAAACAAGTTTTCAAACAATACCCACAGGATCGGGACAAACAGCGAAGAATATCGTCCAACTGAACACTCGAGACTTTTACGAGCAACTACGAAGCGACAAGAATACAAAGATACCAGCGCTAGACTACTGGAGACAAAACCTTCAACCACCTCCCACGTTAGACCAACAGCATTGGAAAACCATCTACAGCAACCTGATCACAAACAAACAGGGCGACGTTAACTGGAAAGTAACGCTGAGAATCCTTCCCACAGCACAGGGATTGCACAGAATGAGAGTGTACCATACAAACTTGTGTCACCATTGCAACGAAATAGAAACAATTGAGCACGTCCTTGTACAATGTGCTAACGCCACAAGGTTCTGGACATTCGTCACACCTTACATAGACACTATTAGTGAACAGAAGTTACAGCTGACCAACTCAATGAAACTACTTGGCATCACAGAGCTACAAAAAGACGGACTAAACCAAGTCAAACGCCAACTGGTAAACTGGTTACTAACAACAGCACGGTGTGCTCTACACAAATCTGCCGTAGACTATAGGGTGCGAGCGGAAATTGTACCGCCTCGATCACTCTTCGTCGCAGCCGCAAAAAGCCACATAATGTACGAATACAAACGTGCAATCCAACGACGCCAACTGCAACAATTTGAAGACCAATGGTGCACTAACGAGGCGCTCGCAAGAGTTGTAAATGAAGAACTGTTAATGAAACTATGAAGAAAATCAACACAAAAAACATTCAGTTAATTGAAACAAATGAAAACACGGAAAAACTAAACATAAACTAGATTATGAAATCAAACAAATTGTACAAATGTAAATAAAGTTATTAAGAAAAAAAAAAAACAAAAAACCGGTTCTCGTCTGATCACCGAAGTTAAGCCTGGTCGGGCGAAGTTAGTACTTGGATGGGTGACCGCCTGGGAATACTTCGTGTTGTAGACTTTCACTTTTGCTAGGCCGCGACCGGATTCGCAGGAAATTAACTTTGATATTCAGCGCACCATATTTCTATAACCATTTCGCACATTGGCAAATTGCTACCTTGAAATCGAGTGTATTAGGGTGCACTAATGTCTACGACCATACCACCCGGAAAACACCGGTTCTCGTCTGATCACCGAAGTTAAGCCTGGTCGGGCGAAGTTAGTACTTGGATGGGTGACCGCCTGGGAATACTTCGTGTTGTAGACTTTCACTTTTGCTAGGCCGCGGCCGGATTCGCAGGAAATTAACTTTGATATTCAGCGCACCATATTTCTATAACCATTTCGCACATTGGCAAATTGCTACCCTGAAATCGAGTGTATTAGGGTGCACTAATGTCTACGACCATACCACCCGGAAAACACCGGTTCTCGTGTTTATCTGATTTTAGAGTTGAATTATAGCTGTAAAAGGTCGTATTTTTGCAAAATCTTTACATATTCCTAGAGTTAACACTTTTGTGTACTCTTAGGAGTGATTATTTTGTTAATTTGCTCGTACAAAAGATCTAAACGAGCGTTTGTATTTTACTTACTGCGAAGAGAAGCCAGACGGGAAGCCATTATGGCGGCTGACCGGAAAGCTCGCACTGTGGTTTTTAAAACCCTAGAGGAAGCTAGTTTGGTCGAAATCAAACAAGAAATTGAGAAGGAAATAGAAGAGGGATGTCTTGTTGTATTACAAGAGCTTAAACCGTTTGAATACCTGGCTGAGTTTAAGGAGCAATCACAATCGGAAAACCTGATTGAAATGGGCTTCGACTTGAGCACAATACATGTCGATTGTCATCCACCGAGAGGATACTATACCAATGTATCACTGATGGGACTCAGAGCGTACATCGAAGACAACGAGATAACCTCCGTGTTAGAGAAATATGGGGAGATTAAAGGGCCTATAGTTAGGCTGAAATACAAAACAGGACACGAACTAGCTGGGCTAGAAAACGGTAATCGATTGGTGAAAATTGTACTAAATCAGCCATCAATCCCTTATTCGCTCAAGATTGATGGCGAGTGGTGTCGTGTTATTCACTCGGGGCAGAAACCATACTGCTCAACATGCAGTGAATTCGGGCACAACCGCAGAAATTGCAAGGAGACCGTGTGCCACAAGTGTAACGAGAAAGGACATATTGCCAGAGACTGCACAACAGGACCTGACCACGACAACAAACAAAAACAAAACCATGACCTGCGTGAAGCTACGGACACTGAACAAGGAAAACCAATGCCTCAGGACAATGATGAATCCCAAAATAAAGCAGAACCACCCAACGAAACCGAAGCGAAGATGGACACCAATGGAAACGACAATCCCAACTAACAAGGTCTGAAACGACCGCATACTTCAACGGACACAAATACGGACTCAGACACTGACGGCTTTACACTGATAAAGCCTCGACGAAATAAAATTAAACCGACCCCAAATATACCACCGAAAGGAAGACCAACGACGGATAAAAACAATATTAAAGGCAAACAGATTAAACCACCAACAATCATCAACAAAAGGAACAACAATGGCGAGAAGTAAAACATTTATTCATTTTATAACACTTTGTACAATGGTTAATATTATTACTGTTAATGTGCAAGGGCTTCGACAGAGCAACAGACGACAAACTGCTTTTAATTTGTTCAGGAGACAGAAATATGACATGATTTTACTACAAGAAACCCACTGGACGGGCGAACTTGAAAATGAAATAAGAAACGACTGGGGACATGATATATTATTTAGCAATGGAACTGCAAACGCGCGTGGAACAGCTATATTATTTAACGCACGTCTAGACTATACGATACAAAATGTAAACAAAGACGGCGGCGGGCGCGTGATAAACGCTTTGATCGAAATTGACGACCATGAAATAAATATAGTTAATATATACGCACCTCGTACACACACAGAAAGAAAAACTGTCTATTCTGAATTAGACAAATTTATTTCAACAGAGCACAACAACATTATAGCGGGGGATACAAATCTAGCGCTTACACAATACGACAGAATGGAAGGCTCAATGCCAGCCAGACAGACGGCGAGAACAGAACTATACAGACTTATTACAAAGCACGATCTCGTTGACATTTGGCGTCAAAGAAACCCAAACAAAAGAGAGTTTACTTGGACTAGCTCAGACAGCACAACTCATCGAACAATTCGAACAAGAATCGACAGAATTCTAATTACCCAAACCCTAGACAAAAATGTATCAAAAACACAAATTATTCCGTATCAACACTCAGACCACGACAGCACAACCTTAACCCTTGATCTTGACAAATTAAAGCGTGGACCGGGTTATTGGCACTTTAATAATAAACTGTTAACAGACCCACAATTCGTTGAAGATATTAGAAACTACTGGACAAACTGGAAAGCACAGCAAGATCAATTTGAAAACTTAATCATTTGGTGGGACAAAGCGAAATACAAATTTAAACAAATCGCTATACAACACAGCACGAAAAGGCGAAGGATCGAGCAAAAAGAACGTGCAGAACTAGAGACAAAATTAACAAGCTTACAACAGACAGCAACTGCTACTGGGAACAACGTAGATATTACAAAATATATGGAGGCGAAAAACGAACTGAAACAATTTGATTTTCGCGAAATAGAAGCGCTTAAAGTCCGAACTAAAGCACTATATGCGGAAGCAGGAGAGAAAAGTACGAGATATTTCTACTCACTAGAGAAAAGACGTCAAGCTGAGCAGTCAATTAAAATACTTACAAAGGGCAACAACGAAACATGTACATTACAACAAGATATAATAAAGGAGGTGCACACATATTACAAATCGCTTTACACCGCAGAACTTACAGATCCAACAGCACAAGAACAGATCTTAAACATCGATACACCGACATTGACAGACGAAGCCAGAGAATCGTGCGAAGGACTTATAACCGCAGCTGAATTAAAAAAGGCGCTGGATGGGATGGAGCTGAACAAATCACCAGGACTTGACGGCTTAACGTCAAACTTTTATAAATTTTTCTGGAACATACTAGGGAATACACTAACGAATGTGTACAACTACGCATTTGAGCATGAGCTCTTATCGGTATCTCAACGCAGAGGAGTAATTACCCTCATTTTCAAGAAAAACGATAGAACTAAGTTAAAAAATTGGCGACCAATAACATTGCTAACAACGGACTATAAAATTCTAACCAAAGCCTTAGCAAACAGGCTGAAAAACGTATTGCCAATGATCATACACACTGATCAAACTGCGTGCGTAAAAGGAAGAACTATTAATGACAATGCCAGTTTAATACGAGATGCAATTTACTACGCTAACGAAACAAATAAGAAACTTGCGATAATAACCATAGACCAGTTAAAAGCGTTCGATCGAGTCGATCACAAGTTCTTGTTCAAAACGCTGGCCAAGTTTGGCTTTGGACCACAATTCATAAAATGGATACAAATTCTGTATAAGCAGGTTTGCAGCACAGTAAAAACAAACGGCTGGATGACCGCATTCATAAACTTAGAGCGGGGCCTTAGGCAAGGCTGTCCTCTGAGCATGCCATTATACATAATAACAGCTGAAATGCTAGCCATTCATATTAGATCAAACACTCGCATTCAAGGACTGCAACTACCAGAATCGGAAGATGAAGTGAAACTTTCACAGTACGCAGATGACACGACACTTCTGCTAGCAAACGACCAAAGTATAAATCAAGTTTTCGAAACACTGAAGTTATAC